AGATTTTAATTTTTTTAAAATTAAGATTGATACCTAATAATCTTAAAAAATAAAAGTTAATTTTTAATAATTTAACATCTAATTTTATTTATTAATAATACTGAAATTAATGTAATTTTTTATAATATATATAAAAATTTACAATATAAAAAAGATGTTCTTAACTTGTACTGGTACATGTTAGGAATTTTTTTTTTAAATAATGGGCCTGGTTTTGTAATGACAAAAACATCAGGGAAAACCCACCCAAGGGCAAAAGGAAAAGCCCAACCCAAATAATAGAAAATTCAAATGAACATTATCTGGCCCAAAACGGCTTTAGCGATTTTCAACGTGTTCACACTGGTTCATTGGAGAACAATCTGAAAAGGGAAGAAGCAGATACCTAAAAACCCTAACTTTCCCAAGGAATCTCGCCATAGTTTCTCTCGAATATGTTCGGTGGTGAGGAAAGCGAGCCCCTGAGGCGGATAGGCATGATAGCGCCATCGATGTTGAGCCCACACCCTCCGACCCAGCAACCGCAGTGGGGGCAGGAGGAGACAAGGGAGTTGATTGCGATCCGTGGTGAGCTGGAGAGAGACTTCACGGTGTCGAAGCGCAACAAGGCGCTGTGGGAAGTTGTCAGCACCAGAATGAGGGAGAGAGGCTACATCAGGACTCCTGATCAGTGCAAGTGCAAGTGGAAAAACCTCCTTAACCGCTACAAGGTAACTAGGACCGACCTAATAATCTCAGCATTTCTCTATTCTTGAATGTGGTTCTTGCTTCATTTGTTGGCTTGATTGATGGGCAGTCTTCAAAATTCTGACTTTATTGTGATTTATGTTGAATATTGTTTGTGAGACATGGGATTGGAGTGCTGCAAGGAATCTTAATTTGTTGTATTAGTATCATTGTACAGTGGTTTTTTCTTTGATTTTCTAGTGTAGTGCATTTGCAACAGGTTGAACCTCTGGTAACATGTCCTGTTTTCTCCAGTGTTATGGTTGCCCTGTTCCCCCATGAATTTGACTTTCCAAATGGCAAATGATATAAGTTGTTTTTCCAGTGAATTTTGGCTGAGAATGGCTTTTTTGCATAGCAGGGGAAGGAGACATCTGATCCTGATACAGGCAGGCAATGTCCATTCTTTGAGGAACTGCAAGCAGTATTCAATGAGAGGGCAAAGAACATGCAGCGAATGCTGCTTGAATCTGAAGCAGGTTTGACTCAGGCTAAGAAAAGAATGAAGAGAGTAAGTGTTGAAAGATCCTCCGAGGAGTTCTCTGAATATGAAGATGAGGAGGAGGATGAAAGTGAGGAGGAAAGGCGTAGAAGCAATTCCCGCAAGAGGAAAGTTGAGAAAAATGTATTGGACAAGTCTCCTAGAGCAACAACTAGTACAACTGCTGGCAGAATTAATAGTAGTAGTAGTCTTCAGGAAATGCTCAAGGAATTTCTTCAGCAACAACAGACAATGGAGATACAATGGAGGGAGATGATGGAGAGGCGTGCAAATGAACGACGGTTGTTCGAACAGGAGTGGAGACAGTCAATGGAGAAGCTTGAGAGGGAGAGGTTAATGGTTGAGCAGGCTTGGAGGGAGAGGGAGGAACAAAGGAGGATAAGAGAGGACAGCCGAGCAGAGAGGAGGGATGCCTTGTTAACCACTCTCTTGAACAAACTTATAAACGATAATAACCTCTGAGTCAGAATACCGATTTCGGGTTTCTTGTGAAGAATAGCAATGCTAATAGAAATTATAAAATAGAAAAAAACTACAAACAAAAAAAGAATGAAGAATCATATACAGGAATCATATGTCATTATGTCAAATGTCAAGTTGGGGTTTTCTTTGGTATATATGTAGAGATGCTTTATTTTTGAATTTTGATTGCATACAGTCTTGGGAGATATTCTTTTCTCACGATGAAGGGAATTCATATTCTTCTGTCGCAAACCATGGCATCAAGGATATCCTTATGTTCTCTTGGAGTTATATGGATGAAGTGAGATTGAAAAATTTATTGAATTTGCTGGGTTGTATATTGATTTATTTCAACAGAAAATTGTTATCTTTATTGCTGGGAAAACATTTGTATTGAAAGTTCACCATGAAACCAATTTATTTGTTGATTCTCAGTTTTTCTGAATCAGGAGACTCTTCAAGTTTTTTTTTTTCCTGTCCACTGTATCTAGCTATATTTATTTATATATATATATACATATATAGTTTTTCAAAAAATGGACTACACAACTAGGAGCAGCTCCTCTGACATTGAGGTTCCTCTCTCTATATAATCATTTTATGTTTTATTCAACGTTAATGTTTTGTAATTTAATGGAGCTGAGATTCAAGAATACGGGACTTTCATAAAAAAATAAATAAAGGCTATTGTTCTGTTCTGAAGGGACCAACAAACACATTTGGATGCCTGTTTGGGCTTTGAAAAACTTGTAGTACCATCCATTTCTGCGCCTCCAATTTACAACCAAGAGTCCAAAACCAACTGAAACTAGGCCCAACTGCGGACCTCTGCAAGCAAACTGCCGTGCCTCCTCGTCTCCCTCCGCCCTCTCCTCGAAACTTGCCGAAACAGAACACGAACTTGCAGAATCCTGTCGATTTAGATGGAAGCAGAAGAGGTACTGGAGGAGCTCCAAAGCGTCGAGGTTGAACTTGAAGATGTCCAAGGTATCCTACGTTCCTTCTCCTTCCCCATCAGTATTCTTCAAAAAAAATAAAATGAAATCTTCGGCGGTTGATGCAATTCCGATCCTCCGATATATAGGAAGATTGAACTCACTTAATCAACGATATTTTTATCTTCTTTTTTTTTTGAAGATTTTTGTAGTGTTTTTGTGTGTCTAAAAGGATTTTTGTGTGATCGTGCAGACCAGATAAGGGCATTGCTGGAGAGGCAAGAGATGCTGTATGAGAGACAGTCGGAGCTGAAAGCTTTGCTGGAGGCGTGTCAGGAATCGGGAAGTCCGGTGAAAGATGGCGCAGCGACTGCCGTGGAAAACTGGTCGGGAGCGTTCGAGTGGGATTCTCGAGCTGATGATATTAGATTGAATGTTTTTGGCATCTCAACATATCGCGCAAATCAGAGGGAGGTCAGTCTTTCTAAGATATTTTTAGTGAAATTTTGCTGTTTTAATTTCCAGAATATATCTTCTTCGTTCTTAGCAATTGTAATACATTGCACAAATTTTGTTTTTTCCTAGATAATAAATGCAGTCATGAGCGGAAGAGATGTTCTGGTGATTATGGCTGCAGGCGGTGGAAAGAGCCTTTGCTACCAGCTGCCGGCTATCCTCCGTGAAGGAGTTGCTCTTGTTGTCAGTCCTTTGCTTTCTTTAATCCAAGATCAGGTATTCTTTGATATATTTTATGTTATGTTATTGATTATATGCAGGTCTTTTCCTCAAACTCGGCCTTTCTGACTGTATAAAGTAATACAGGTCATGGGTTTGAATGCCTTAGGCATCTCGGCATTCATGTTGACATCAACTACGAGCAAGGAAGATGAGAAATTTATATACAAGGCCCTTGAGAAAGGTGAAGGGGATCTCAAAATATTGTATGTCACGCCAGAGAAGATATCAAAAAGCAAGAGATTTATGTCAAAGCTTGAAAAATGCCATAATTCTGGCCGTCTCTCTCTAATTTCTATTGATGTAAGCCCTTGGACTTGAAAATGTTCTTAAGTCTTCATTTTGACATGAATAATGGTCCTATCACTCTTGCAGTTTATTTGAATATTATATTTAGATTGTCTGGACATTTGTTTGCCTTTCGAAAGCATGAAGGCTCCTTTGTTAACCAGTCTGATACTGATGAATTGTGGCAGTAATGTGTCCTAGTCTAGTTATATTTTAAAGAAAAAAAAATCAGAAATTATGTTCATGTGGCATGTTTAATGCGATGACTTCTTTTCCTAATGTATTATACCAAATATTGTACTCTATTGATGTATATATGAATTTCATACAACTAAACTAGACATGATTGAACTCTTTGAGCCTTTGCTTGGTGATAGGAAGAATCTTATCTGCAAATATTTTCTTGAAATTAGTATTTATCATTGAACTTACTTTGTAGGAGGCTCATTGCTGCAGTCAGTGGGGGCATGATTTTCGCCCAGACTATAAAAATCTTGGAATTCTCAAGACCCAGTTTCCGAGTGTACCTCTTTTGGCTTTGACTGTATGTCTTTCTTCTCTCCATTAAATTTTGAATCTGTAGTATGCATTTCTGTATTCTAGGCTTCAACCATTTTGTCAAGTTATAATTTCACTTTGAGATATATTTTCTAGGCAACTGCTACTCAGAAAGTCCAGAATGATCTGATGGATATGCTTCACATTCCAAAATGTGTTAAATTTGTCAGCACAGTCAACAGGCCGAATCTATTTTATATGGTAACGTTGTTAACTAATTCCAGTTTTATTCTCAAGAGTTTCTGTTATAATATGTTTCCAGTTAATTTTACATGTGCTTGGTCCAATCCAAAGGAAAAACCATCAAACACTCTTTTAAGGTTGAGGTTCAAGCCTTAACTCCTAATTTATGTATTTTAGCTACTTTTCAACCATGGCAATTAAATCAAATAATTGAATCAAATAGAGGAACGGTGGCTTAATTGCTTCTTATGCAAAGGTGTGGTGTTTTTCTTTTCCTTTTTGGCATCTGAAAATTTTTTGCTATACTGCAGGTTCGAGAAAAGTCATCTGTTGGGAAGGTGGTTATTGATGAGATTGCTGAATTTATACAAGAATCTTATCCAAATAATGAATCTGGCATAGTGTACTGCTTTTCCAGAAAGGAATGCGAACAGGTCTGTCTTTTTGGCATGTCCTTCTTATCTCCTTTCCAGGGCTGTTGCATCTTACCTGGAGGTTGTTCCTTGAATTGATTATATTCATCTTGATTATTATCTTATCTACACATTAACTTCTTCCCCAAGGGTCTTTGACTCTTTGTAAATCAAGATCATTGAATTTTGACAGATGCGCACAAGAATGTAATGTCCTCTGTTGTTTCCTCAACTATCAAGTGCTCCTATCATTCAGTTTTCTATTTCTATTTCAGAATAACTTGCTTAACCTTTTGCTTATTTGTGACCTGTATTTGCTGTTAGACATAAGTTGTTTTCACGTATTTATTTATTTCTAATTTCTAATTCATATAACTTGCTTATCTTATCTAATCATCTATTTATCATTCAGTCTTCTATTTCTAATTTAGTATTTGCTTGTTAGGAACAAATGATAAGTATGGCATGTGACTTGGTATTTCAAGTCCATGATGTTGTGTGTAGTTAGTGATCATAATAATTTGGGTATGGTTACATGTTCTTCCCCAATTTATTGATAATATTCATGTGTTGGTTATGTAAAGTAGACAAAAGCTGGTAGCATCTGATTTCTACTTTAAGTCAATTGTTTATTTCTTTCTTACATTGTCAATAGTTGTAGGTTGCCAGTGAATTACGGGAGAGAGGAATATCAGCTGATTATTACCACGCAGACATGGATGTAATTGCTCGTGAGAAAGTTCATATGCGGTAAACTCACTCTTTCTAGAACATCCACTGGTGTCTGGCCCAGAAGAGCATGTCAATGGCTACAGATATTTTACTTCTTATGGACTTTTAGTACTAATTTTGATCAATGAATGAATGCAGTTGATATTTTATTTTCTGTATATGATCTGACACATTCTGAAGGCTCTTATATGTACTTGATGATGCAGATGGAGCAGAAATAAGTTGCAAGTCATTGTTGGTACGGTATGTACCTTGAAATAAATTTGTACACATGCTTCTCTTTTCTAAAAATGTTTATGTTGTATTACTATTCGTTTTGGCTCATTTTCATGCTTTTGATTGTATGCTAGGTTGCATTTGGAATGGGAATCAACAAACCAGATGGTTAGTATTGCAATATTGCAAAATTCCAGTTTCATGTTGTGAGTCAGAGCTTCTTCTTTGAAATTTGCTTAAGAGTTAGCTCTACATTTCTTTACTAACAAATTACTGCAAAAGGAGAGGCTTATAAGCCCTACACTAAAATTTATGATTCTTTTTTACGTTTGACTTCTGAAAAATCTTAAAACTTACAGATTCTTATTATTCTTTAAAAATTGATATCCTCAGGTGAATAATATTTTTCTTTTACGTCCCCTCTACAAGGAAAAAATAAAAAATGATATATCTACCTTTTCTATTCAGTGTCATTTTTATCTATATACTTGTTCAATTACTGATACTCACTGGTTGCTTGTAGTCAGGTTTGTCATCCATCACAGCCTGAGTAAATCAATGGAAACATATTACCAGGTTTTTAGTGTCTTCCCAGTGAACTTCTTTTCCTTCGTAAACTCCCCTTTTTAACTTATGTTTGTGCAGGAAAGTGGTCGAGCTGGAAGAGATGGGCTGCCTTCTGAGTGTCTACTCTTCTATAGGCCTGCTGATGTTCCTCGTCAGGTAAGTATCTTGGTATTCATAACTTTTACAAATGGTTGCCCAATACCTTTTTGCAATAATTAACCATGATACGTTCTTTCAATAGAGTTCCATGGTCTTCTATGAGAACTCTGGACTGCAGAATCTTTATGACATAGTACGCTATTGTCAGGTAAATTATTTTCTAAGACAAGAATTTTTTTTTTTTAGATGAAATGTGAAATTTATTAATCCAATAATACAAGATTTTTGCTCTATGGTCTTTTTATATGATTTTTGTTCTAGGAGAGCGTGGGGATGATTATTGTTAACAGTGTAGATTATTATTTTCTTAATCTTTTGGTGAAGAAATTTTGTGATTTCATATTTGACAAATTACAGATTGGTAGTTAATGAATCTCATTTTGTGACTTTTACTACCCTATTATTCATTAACTAATCCATTATAACAAATATTTTTGCCTGTCCTTCCATCCACCGCCTTATATTGCATGCCTCTTCCACCACCATAAAATTAAATCAGTAGGCTTTTCTGACCCTGCAACAAATGTCCATTGTTGTTGGTCAACACTATAATCTTAAGCCTAATGGCTTGTAATCCTACCTCCTACTTGCTGTCCTAGTCATGGTTAAACAATAGTACACTGTAGCAGTTTTCACTGCTTAATTTTTTTTTTTTACTGGTAAAATGGTAATCTTCACACCATACATACTTGATGTTGAGAGGATGGTTAATTCTTTTTCTTACTGCAGTCCAAAAAACAATGCCGAAGAAGTGCCTTCTTTCGCCATTTTGCTGAGCCATTACGAGACTGCAATGGTACTATTTGTGTTTATTTAATTATTACTTGCTATTTTAACATATGCTAACTTTTTATGGAGTAATGGTTAATGTGTCACCTTAGGGATGTGCGACAACTGTGCATTCTCAAGTGAGGTTAAAGAATTGGACGCAACTCGTATGTTCTTTAACTTTTATTCATGTTTGTTTATGTGTTGTTCTCTCTCAAATTTAGACTTTTTTTTTTCCCTGGACTACTGATGGTTCTCTTTGTCAATTGGTATTGAATTTGGGCTTTAAACTACTTGATGGGTTGTGGTGCAAGAAGTTGTTAATGAATCAAGTTTTATTTATTTATATATTTATTTACTTTTGGGGGGGAGGGGATAAAATGTGAAAAGTTTCATTTATCCAGCAACGAATCAAGTTTGATTTTAGTTTCTTGGTTTAGGAGGTCATAGATTATCTTCAATATAATGTGGTTTCCTTAGTAGTATAGAATTAGGGAGGTCCAAGGGAGGATGAGTAAACTACCTAGGTAGTTGTGTAGATCATTCTCCTGTCCTTTATAATAAGTAAATACATATAGTATATTAAGATTTTTTATTATTGCAACTATCCTTCACCAGAGTTAATGATAGCTTTATATTCAATATGATGATTATCTGCAGGTCATGCTAAACTTATAGTTTCATTGGTGCATGATATTCAAGAGAATGAACGAAGATTGACAATGTTGCAGTTGGTAGACAAGATTAAAAATAAGCAAAAGGAACTAGGTTTGGTCTATCTCTTGATGTGTTCTTTTACTGCATTAAATACTTTGGATTTTCATATGTGCATTCACAATTTACAGACACCAAAATTCACTTAACAAAGGTCTGGTGTAAGATTTCTTATTTCTCTTAATGAATTATCTAAGCACCTTCTTTCAGTGCTAACCTATTTGTCCATAGCTGCAGCCACTTGAGCAGAAAGGATATAGTTCTCTAGAATTAAAACCAATTTCTTATATCAATTCTAAAAGATAAGAAAAAAGATCTATTTCATTCCTTTTGGTTCCACACCCCAGCCTACTAAATGGTGCAGTGGGTTTCCCTTTTTCCCCTTTATTTTGCATCTGTGCATGCCCATGCACCTTGATCATGGTATTGATTCTGAAATTAATTTTTAATATTATGTGTTCTTATTGAACTAAGATCTAAAAGATAGCACAACACACTTGTTCAACAGTTGAGTCCAATTAAATCAAATTAAAATTAATTTAGTTTTGCATCCATTGGCATCTTAGTGTACTACTGCATATATCATGCAGGTTAGCAATTTCATGTATTATTTCTTTTGGCACTTTTCAGATCACATATCCTTATATTAATATTTCTTTGATACTACTAATAATGTACCAGGTTTTGAACTAAAGAAAGAAGAAATGGAACAGCTTGTTTTACAGCTTATACTAGATCGTGTTTTGGTAAGAATCTTGATCTGTCGGACATTGAATCTATTCAGTTCAATTTGCTTATGCTAAGTGGTGAACCTAGTAGGTTGTACTTCTGCCTCATATCTTGACTCTTGAGGTTGCTCAGTCATACATGTGCTTAAAAGTTCATTATCTTCTAAACCTGCTTTCTTGGATATGTTTGGTTGAACAATAAGGTTTTTTTAATGAAAGTAATTTTATGATTTAGACTTGTATGAGCTATAGTTTCTTTTCCCTCTTAAATATTGTAGAAAGAAGAATTCCAGCATACAGCTTATGCCACCAATGCTTATGTAACAGTAGGACCATTGGCAAAGCAAGTGTTGCAAGGTATGGTGCATCTTTTGCAAATTAGATTGTAGGATATAAATCTTGTTTTTAAATTTTAGAATATGCTTTTATTTTCCCCTCTTCCCTTGACATGTATCTTTCTCTTCTTACCTAATCTATGTTGAAATTGCACTGCTTTTGTCATCTTGCGTTTAGGGAAGAGAATCATAAAGATAGAGGTTGCCAGCAAGCAGAAGAATATGGATGGCACTAAGAAATCAACTAAACGAGGCCTTGCATCATCGAGTTTGGAGATTCAGCTTGACAGGCTGAGGAAGGAACTCTCTTCGGTTGATGGGGGAATATTCCCCCATTCCATCCTGTCTAGTCAACAGATCAGTATGATAAGTTCCCAGAAACCAGTATCAAAGGAAGAGGCAAGTTGTGAAGTTATCAAATTACATATTTTATAATTTTATCCATAACCCTCTTTCAGCAATTATTGAAATAAAAAACTTGTTATCAGCTGAAGCACCTCTAGTGTAGTAGGGATTGACTCGCTAGCTCTACTGTTATGTTAACTTCTCCACAGAAGCACATGCCAATGCACACACGCAGACACATCAAAGAAAAGAAAAGGAAAGGGTTTTATTGGATCACACACTTTTTTTGGTCAATCCATAAATATATTTTCATCTTGTGTCTCTTGCAGTTGGAGAAGATAATAGGAAAGTTGAAAACAGAAAAATATGGGGATAGAATTCTGGAAGAAGTCCAGAAATATGGTGATACCAAGCAGAATGTTGGGTTGAAAGAAGAACAAGACAATGATGAAAATAGACCCAGGAAGAAACTGAAGACACAGAAGGGAGTCGTTCTCATTGATAGCAGTGATGAGGAGTAGTAATCAAAATTCTTATCATGCTTTTAGTTTTGGTAGAATGTACACTCTAGAAATGACAAGAGAAAGTGTGATTCTTTTGCCATATAAAATGGTCTATCAACAGAAATTGCTTTCCTTGGTTGCAAAGCTACTAATGAATTCCAACAGAAATGTCAATTTAATTTTTTTTTATATATAATTATCATTATTGTACATATATTTTTTTAATTTGAATTCTCCATATTCCCAATATTTATAGGTGAGGGTATACTCAGTTTAGATTGCACAAAATGTAAGGTTAAGAATCTTAGGATATGAGCATTAGACTTTCCAAAAATATCTCTCAAATAGAATTTTCTAGAACTATCTCCAATTTCATTGCACATATATTATAACTATAGATTCATTATTACACATATTTTTCTAATTTGAATTCCCCATGGTCCCAATATTTATAGGTGAGAGTTGCTTTTCACCTTTACAACAAACAGTTTAGATTGCATTAAATATAAAGTTAAAATTAGAAGTTTAGGCGTTTCATAAATATCTCTCAAATAAAATTTTCTAAAACTATCTTCAATTTCCCCTCTTAGTTGTATAGATTACTATAAAATTCTATTTTAGAAACGGACTGAACCTCAAATTTTAGATTTTGGCACTCTAGTATATTGGGCGTATCTCATTTATGTAAAATTTTATACAGATGGCAAAAATAGACTATAATTAAAATATCAAAAATAATAATTAAAATATTTAAATATCTTTAATTTTAAAATTTTAGCAAATGTTATGCCATGCAATTTTTTTATATAATTAGAAGAGTGAGTAGCAAAGGAGCATCACTGTTATCTCCAATGCATAATCACCCTGATTCTCGTTTGTCATTCTGCCACATATTTTTGTTTATTTCACCTTTTTTTTTTTCTTTTTTAAGTCTAGCGTATAAATATTAATTAATTTCATATAAAATATAGTTGTTTTTTTCATGTAATTATAGACATCAAATAAATTGTAAATTAAGAACGTATGGTACGCATGAATAGAATATCAAATCTAACTATTAGTTTGATATACTATAAATTATACAAAAAACAACTAGTATAGAATCATATATAAGTTATACCAATATAACTTGATCTTAATTATTTTTAAATATTGTTTCTTACCCAATTATAATTATATTTCTTAAGAAGTGATTATAAAGAGAGAAACTGTCACTTTACCTAGGTCTTAATTATTATTTATTTCAGATTTAAAATAGTTCCTATAATTCAAATATCAAAAATAAATTTTGTAGTAAACAAAAATTGATGTACCTTATTAGACATTTGTCAAAAGCTTAGGGGGGAAGTCCCCCCATTGCCCCATTGTAGCTTTATTCCTAGATCCAATCCTTAGAGTTATGAGTTTGTTGGGTTTTTAGAATAAAAAGAGATATGTTAAATATTAATTTTGATAAGCACAGAAAAAGAATATAAATAGAAAGGAAAGTGTTGAATATATAATTAATTTAAATTTGGATATAGTGAAAAATAAATGTTATTTTATAGATAAAATTCAAGGTTTGGGCCTTCAAATTAGCACTAAATATAAATTAAATTCCTTGAATACATTACATAGAGATAGGGATGGCAACGGATCCCCACATAGGTAAGGACCTACTTCCCATCCCCATTCCATCCCCATCATTGTTAATGACGGGTACAAGGCTCTTCACGGGGAGTTTTTATTAAGGATAAAAAATAACCTCTGTCCCTATACCCCACGATGACTTATTATTCTTCGTAAATATTCGGAGTCTCCACCAAATAAAACTTGATACTCGTTTCTCATTTGAGAAATTAACTAAAGATATAATGAATTAAGAGTTTGAATGAACCTTAAAATAACAATATGATTATCGTTCGCTATGAATGTGAGAAAAAAAGCTATGCATGCATGTAAATAATAAAAATCGTATTCTGACAATCTTACGAACAATCGGAGGGAAAATGAAATCAGAAATAATAAGACCAAAAGAATGAGATCTGCTTCACCTCAAAATAAATCATTAAGCACAAATACTCAGATATTCATAAATACTCACAACTCAGGCTCAGGCAAACTATAAGTAGCCGACTGAAGAATAGAAATAGAGCTATGGGCACTACCTTTTGAAGGTTGTCGAAAATGATAGGTTAAAGGGAATTGATCAATTGAAGAATAGAAACAAAGCCAGTGAGATACAGCACAGAGGAAAAGAGGCTGGAGTTTGGAAAGGAGGGATCGGAGATTAGATTCGCAAGTCTCAGAAATTTGAAATAGTCTTTCTAGTTCTACGGTTACTAGCAAATTGGGTTGGACTTGGGTTTGGGCAATTAAGTTTAAGAAGATAATGCAAATTGGGTTGAGTTTGGGTAATTAAGTTTAAG